CGAGATGATTACAAAATAAAAATGGAAAATAAAAAAAATAGATTTTTTTTTTTTTGTATAATTTTTTTTTTTTATTATTATTAATAATAACGTTTGCATAGACATTTTCAGGGGCGGACTAGCCATCTGTATAATTTCCCCGCAACGAGGCTCCCCCTTTGACAATCCACTAGCGCAGTGTTTCTCAAACTTTTTCATACGAAGGACCACTTAACCAATAAAAAACACTCATGGACCACCTAACTCCCCCCCGTCGACAGGGGGTCGCCAGTCTCTGGCACTGTTATTTTGGGGGTCGCGGGCTGAAAAGTTTGGGAACCTAGACGATTCTGCTCCTCCCGACCTCAGATGTAGGTTTGAAAGCCATTTTGTCCGGCGTTTTTCGGTTAGCTTCTTAAATTGCTCAGCTTTATGGACGACAACCTTCGGTACTCGGTAAAACCTCTTGTTTTTCTCTCGGCCGGATCGATTGGAACAACCGTAAACTACACAACACACCGGCATTTTCACAATGGTAACAGCAGCTAGATCCTCTGTGGAAAATTACATCCTGACCTCCAATGGAATTTCGCGCCAAAGGAACGCAGCGGTGTGACGTCAAGTGAAACCAAGCTATTAGCAAGGTGTAGTTCATCAGAGTTCATGTCTGAAGTCCCTGATGAGCCAATCCTTCCTTTTAAAAATACTTCATCACTGCAGTCATTTCATCAGTAAGCTGACTGCTTACTGATGAAATTACTGCAGTGATGTCACTCTGGAAGACTGTAACTTCTGGAGTGGAAAGGGAAGGCAGTCTGCAGGATTTAAAATCTGTCGTTGGAGAAGATTTACTCAGTTGTTTTGCAGAAATAAATATCAAACTGGAGCCAGCTGCTGTTTTAGTAAAAAACGACACTCACCTCTCTGTCCTGAAGACCCTGAACTCATCACGGTCTGCATCTGCCTCTCTGTCCTGAAGACCCTGAACTCATCAAGGTCTGCCTCTGCCTCTGTGTCCTGAAGACCCTGAACTTGTGGTGATGTTTTCTACGTTTTGTGGTGAAGTTTCTACGTGTTGTGATGATGTTTTCTACGCGTTGTGTTGATGTTTTCTACGTTTTGTGGGGAAGTTTCTACATGTTTTGGTGATGTTTTCTACGTGTCGTGGTGATGTTTTCTACGTGTTGTGGTGATGTTTTATACGTGTTTTATACGTGTTGTGGTGATTTTTTTACACGTGTTGTGGTGATGTTTCTACGTGTCGTGGTGATGTTTT